CSMGRRRAMRCRMRRASWAATCGATACTGAAGCCGTTCACTCATGACGTTCGTTTTKATATGYTAGGATGCAGGATATAAACTTTGAATTTCTCAGTTACAATWCAAAAGCTWAACTACAAWCTGCGATGGGTTGCCAAAGTACAGGGTATTCACATCAGCTTGATAGCTAGTCCGAATATTCCAAGGAAAACAGAAAGCCAGGCCAGACCATTATTAAATGTCAGTCGACCRATTCTAAAGCCACACCTCGCCTGCTTAGCAAATAAAAGAAACTCGTTCGTATCACGACGCCTCTTGAGTGGATGCTCGTCACACCATTTCACGAAATTAAGTCTCTCCAACATGTTGTCACTAGTGCTTGTCAGCGATGCTGCACGYAAGGATGGGTACAGAAATGGATGGAGGACGAAACTAGCGAAYGCCGTTGTGAACACCCAAAAAAGAACTCCATGTTTTCTTTTRACAAACTCTATTTCTACTGCTTTRAATCCTACTGCAACATCTAAAACGCAAATCCCAGCAAACGTGATCCAATGAATRACAAACCAGAATCTTAGAGCACCGACGGTATCGAATACATACTTGCATAGTTGACGATAAATAGCGGTGATATCTTCCACTGTTCCATTTTCAAGTTGTTCGATTTCTTCATAGCAAGTTTCGATCAAAGATTCTAGAGCGTATGTRATTACMGCGAAGATCCAGCAAGGGGATCCAATGTAGAACCACATGGAMATTCTGTCAATTATCATTGGAACGACYTCATGWTCATAGCCGATATATTCCTCAGTATACTGGATGGCTGAAATAAAATACACCAACCAGATAACAAAYGAGAGCAAAATTTGCAAGTTCAGCTTGGTCCATTGCTTTCGTGTCAACAAACTYAYGGCAACAGAAATTGTGATGATTKTAGTGTTCCTAGTTCTCATCATCAGGAAGASWGAGTACACCATGAGGACATAACCCCAAAATCGTGCGAAGGCAAAGGCTGCACGTGTAAACAGAACAGGGCGTAGCATTTCCGCAAACGCTTTGTTTGTTCTATTAAATGATGCCACTCCATAGCACAACCARGGACTGAGATCATCAGCKACGTTTTCTGGAAGTTTTGCGCAAATTTTGTACACGAAAATGTCACCSAAGAGWATGTAGCTATTTATRACAACYCCTACCACGACTAGAAAGAACTGCAGCYCTCTTAATCTAGTGGGCCAAAATCCAGCACAAATGGCAATGGAAATGAAAGGGGCTTTAAGAATCGTGTAGTGTGCATTTGGWTGTTGATTGATGCCAGCTGATGTCCTTGTAACCAAAAGACAATCGGATGATAGACTATCTTGGTGATTGAAGCTTTCGTTATCTGAATTTACACTTCTGTTATGTCCAASAAATTTGACCTTTGAAACGTCAACATTTTCTTCSTCGATGGGGAATTCYTGACTTAATAATGGTGTTAAATGATCCATCACTGATCAAAGCAGGCTTCAGTGATATTCAATYRCAATGGGAGCATATGATATACTTTTTCTAGTTTACATAGTCTAGAGGTAAGAATTCTTGCGATTCGAAAGTCACCTGTTGTTAGAAGCGAATAGTGTTTCGATTTATAGCGCTTTCGATAAATGTTCAATTACCCTCRGCTGTTTTTCTTTAAAAATTTTCAATAAAGGAAAATAACAAAATATAGATTTATACTGTTAATATGATATGTACATTTATACAGTTTTTTTTCTTTGCAGCCGTACGTGGAATTGTTTCCAGACCAAAATATTATCTTCACATTTGAAAACTTTAAGTATTTAATCGATGAATATCTTCAAAACCCGCAGAAACAGTACAAGTATGATGGTACGTAAACGCTGAAACAACAACGTCTTATAAATAGAGGCAATTAATATATGCCATGCAATTATGCAGATTACAGTACTGCAAGGCGTCCGAACGTTTCGAAAGTTTAAATAATAAACTGCATAGATGCAAATCTTATTTCAAGTTTAAAATTTAATTTGATTCGTTTGGAAAACTCTGTTTGATCCTGAGAAAAACAAAAGAATCTATGCAACGACAGTTTTTCTACCTGTTCTCGTCTTTTCCTCGAGACTTTTCCTCTCACTTGACTGATTTTCTTTTTTTTTATGTTTCAGCAATGACATCGTCACTGAAAATCCTAACATTTGATGCTTTTAAGAAGATCGAATCTCCTGTGGGTGCGTTTTTGGTTACTTTGAGTTACCTCATGGTRGCATACTGTGAAAAGGGTGAGTATGTCGACTGTCGAGTTGGGAAGACGCCTAACACGCACTGACAATGATGGTGGAGTTGATATAGACAAGTTCATAGTGCACGTTTGTATTCAGTCGGCTCTCGCTCTTTTTAGCGTCGATCGGTGCATCAAGGAAAAAAGTCAAAGAAAATATCTCCTTCCCATCAAACCTTTCGAGCGTAAATAAAATAACGAGAGTTGTCGGACTGGGCACTAGTTCCTTGATARTGATGGTGGTACTATAAATCCATGCAGTACATTTTCTAAACTTCATAGGAAGTACGCTTTTTAAGTTGCCTTTGAATCCATGAGGTTTAACGTATTGATTCCTGTCTCAGGTTCAGCACGCTCTGAATGCCGGGATTTCAGCAAGGACTTCCGGCGATTGACGAGGACTTTCGATAGAAGAAAAGAACCAAAAGTCGCTTTTATTCATGTAATTTTGTCTCATGGTGGAGATAATGAGATTGTAAGTACTAACAGACTTTTTTGCGTTCATGATGCGCCCTGAGGTTGTTGTCACGTGTTGTTCTGGCTCTCGCCACAATGCACACGCGTTTTCCCGCCAAAACCCCAGGCAGCCCAGTACTGCTTTTGTAATTGCAGGGAACCTCGAAGCGTCCTTACATTGAATTWTATAGTAAGGAGACAGGCGATRACTTTATCGTCTTCCAAGGGACACCGAATTATCATGGCATGGTAGACTTTTTGGAAAAACAGACAAAGTAAGCATTTGTACGTTTTYAGTGGTGAATTTGTTGTTGAAATGAATAGGCTTGACTAACGTCAACKTCCAATTGACTAGTGTCTGTCTTTACAATGGACCCTCAKATGGTCTGTAAGACTTGTTGCAGGTTTCACTACACGAACCTTAATGCCGATAACACGTAYTAGTATATCCTATTTGTCGTTCAGGTTATCAATAACCAGACTACAGCCAAGCAATTCCGATAACATAGCGATTACAGTAGAAGATGAAAAAGAACCAATGGATGAACAAAAGGAACCAGAATCAAAGGAAAGTGATGAAGATGAAGCCGAAAGCAAGGACGGAGATACTAGTGAAGAAACTGGAGACACTGACCCACCCCCTCCACGTAAGAATATTGCATTGCAGTTTAATGTTGGATTATCATCGTAGCAGGCTTAAAAACTGCGAGGACTACATTTCTCATCATGCCTTGTTGCGCAAAATGACGCCATTGCGTATTGGCGAACGATTGACATATCGTCTTGGTTCATTTCTAGCGGAGGAGACCGAAGATGACGAAGTCGCAGGTTCCGTGTGGCGTACTGAACTTCCCACTGTTCCTGAAGACAAGATTCCATCACTGACTGACAAGACATTTCAACCAACTCGCGACATGAACGACTTACTTGTGGTCAAGTTTTTCCAACCTTGTAAGTATGACGTTATGAAATATCACCATGACGTCATCAGTAAAAGGATATCTCAGACTGATGACGTCATTAGCATTGGCATGGAAATACAGCGTCATTAAATCTCCATATGTGACGT